TACTCCTGAACTGGCACACTTTCAACAGAATGAAAGAAAAGTTCAATCACTTGATCAGAAAGGAAAGCAGCCATCTATAGAGATAACTTCGATCCATTTATTCCGCATTCAATTGTTTATTGACTATGGTAACAACTGTGCATTTTGTGTGTGTTATTTACCACATTCCTGACATTTACTGAGCAGCCTAATGTCAGATTTTGTTACAGGATCTGGTTTTTACCACTCTGTTCTGGAGTGCATTCATCTACACATGGAATTTACTTTTGAACTTCTTGTTGCACCTTCTATGCTGTGTTGTCTGAACCTGGACTGGCTTCCTATATTGAAATAAGAAGTCTATTTCCTGGCAATATATTTGGAGAAAGAACAACACCCAGAGCTGTTTGCCTGCAGCAGGAAGTTGTCCTGTGTGACCTCTTATTCCAGTTCTAGCCCTTCAATTATTCACCTGCCTTTCTGTCCCTCCTTCCCCCACCACTGCCACTTGTGTTTCTTCCTGATCTTCCTTCTATCTCCTTCTTTCATGAAGGACTTTCTTAGTAATAGATTTATCTGACCTCCTCTATCACTCCCACTATCTTTTTTGTTAAAAATAGATTTTTTTTGCTGAAACTGGTTTGGCTCAATGGATAGAGCGTCGGCCTGGGGACTGAAAGGTCCTGGGTTCGATTCCAGTCAAGGACATGTACGTTGGTTGTGGGCACATCCCCAGTAGGGGGTGTGCAAGATGCAGCTGATTGATGACTCTCTCTCTCATCAATGTTTCTAACTCTCTATCTCTCTCCCTTCCTCTCTGTACAAAATCAATAAAACATATTTTTTAAAATAGATTTTTATTCTATGCCATGGTCACCATCAGCAACAACAAAATAGGTGGGGGGAGATTTCACCTAAAAAACTACATCTTTTTAGTAACTAGGGGACCAAACATGTATTAAATTTCAAATTATCTTAACGAGGCAGAAAAGGCTATAACAAATTTTTTTTTTTTTTTTGGTAAATGATACATAAAATAAAACTTCCCATTTTAACCATTTTTAGGTGCACAGCTCTGTACACTTACATACATTCGTGTTATTATGCAATCAGCACCATCATACATCCTCAGAACTTTTCCATCTTTGCAAACTGAAACTCTGCCCTCATTAAGAACTATTAATAATTCTCCATTCACTCTTCCCCAAGCCCTGACACCCATCCTTTTACTTTCTGTTTGTATGAAGTGGACTACTTTAGGTATCTCATATAAGTGGGACATACAGTATTTGTCTTTTTGTAACTTGCTTATTTCACCTAATATAATGTCTTCAAGGTTGGCTTTGATGCATTCTTTATATTAGCATTTATTGATTCATGTATCCTAGAGCTGTGTTAATGGCTTGGCATGTGTTGTTTCATTTAATAAATTGTGAAGTAGGACCTTGTTCTGTAGTCATTTAACAGACCGTGAAACCAAGGCTTAGGAAGGTTAGACTCGTGGAGGTGCTAAGTGCAGGCCTGGTTTGGAGCCCGCCCTGCCTGGCTCCTCACCGCCACATGGCCTCTGAGCTCCTTCCTGAAGCCCTCGTCTTGCTTCGGCTCAGAACTCAGCCAATGGAAATGGTCTGGTAACAGCAAGATTATAGGATTTCCAGGTTCCTATTTGCCTCAAATTGTGAATGTATATGTAGAAAAGCAAGCTGTCTTTCTGGCGTCTTAATGAGAAAACACTCCTGCATAAAGTTTCATGCACAAGAAGCTAATAGATATCATTGAAAAGAACAGACATATGAAATGTTTCAACTAAGAAATGGAGTAAAAATTGAACTGTCTAAGAATTTTTCTCTCGCCCTGAGCAGAGAAGCTCAGGTGGTTAGAGCGTTGTCCAGTTGCACCAAGGTTTCTGGTTTGATCCCTGGTCAGGGCACATGAGGGAACCAACAAATGAACGAATGAATGGATGGCACAGAAAACTGGTGATTCTCTCTCTCTCTTTCTAAAAGAATCAATAAAGTAATAAAAAATGAATGTTCTCCATGTACTGCTAAAAGTATCTTAAAAGAAAAATTATAATAAAGTCAACTATTATATTTTCAGCAACTAGAACATAAGAATCATATCCTGTGTGATTAAACACAAATTATGAGGCTACATTTATATGGAAGTTAACTAACTTTTTATATATAATTCATATAGCACACAAGTCACCTATTTCTAATGTATAATTCAATAACTTAGCTTTTTGCTTGGATAAAAATTGCCTTACAACACATGCCAAGCCATTAACACAGCTCTAGAAAACATGAATCAATAAATGCTAATATAAATCACCTTAAATTTCTTTGTTTGCTTTGATTGGTAAGAGTCAAATGGGATAAGGTAAGTCTCTGAGAGCTCTGTAGCATGGGCTGCCATATTAGTTCCATATGAATAATTTTTTTTTGTCAGTGTTGTTTCTATATCCATGACTATTTAATTCCTTAAAATCTTAGTGTCTTAAAGGTTCATGTGTTGTAGATATTTGGAATTCCATTATTATATGATAGAACAAAATAAAAAAAGGTGGGGGGGAGGGGGGAGGCGTTAGGGGACTAGGCAATAAACATGAAAGGATTAACAACAAACAAATAACCCTCATAGCCCTAGTTGGTTTGGCTCAGTGGAGAGAGCGTCAGCCTGTGGACTGAAGGGTCCCAAGTTCTATTCTGGTCAAGGGCACATGTTCAGGTTTTGGTTTCAGTTTTGGTTTCGGGTTTGATGCCCCAGTGGGAGGTGTGCAGGATGCAGCCAATCAATGATTACCTCTCATCATTGGTGTTTCTATCTCTCCCTTTCCCTTCCTCTCTGAAATCAATAAAAATATATATTTTTAAAACCCCTCATAAACACAGTATGGTGATTACTAGAGGGGAAGGTTGGTGGGGGAGGTAGAAAAGGGTAAAGGTGGGGGGGGGGTGCGGAATGGTGATAGAAGGAGACTTGACTTGGGTGGTGAACACACAACACAATATGCAGATGATGTATTATAGAATTATAATATAATTGTATTGACCAATGTCACCCCAATACGTTCAATGAAATTTTTTTTTAAATAAGAGGAGGTTAGCTTTCCAGTCTGTACCAGAAATGCAGTGACGTCAGTAGACAGCCCATCCTACCAGGTGTATCAGCACTTCCTGGAGCCCAAGCATATTCCACTTGCAAATGCAGATGTTTATCTCCTGCTGCTCCTAGAGGAGCTGGCCAGCCCCGGGCTCCACGCCCCAGGGAAGAGCTGCTGGGAGGGTGGGGAGACCCTCAGATGCAGAGATAAGAGAAGGAAATGGTAAGGAGACCAGGCAAAAAAGTGGGGGGAGTTGGGGGAGGGGAAGGCAATGGCGCCAGGTCCCCCTTCTTCCTTGGCTTCTGCTCCATCTTCTTTCCCAGTCACCCAGAGCCTGGGAATAAGGCCGGGGAGCCTGGACGGGCAGCAGTGTGGACCCCAGACAATCTCACCTTCCCTTTCCCCGCAGCTGACTCTGGCATCGTGGATGCTGCACAGGTCAGCTCTGGAATGAACCGAGGCTCAGGCTGGTGGTGGGGGCAGAAGGGGACAAAATGGGTACTGGGCTGCTAACCGGGTCTGTGGCAAAATCTCAGGGGCAAGGAAAAGACTATGTGACACTGAAGGCAGAAGAAAAAAGAAAATTCTGAGGTTAGTCCAACAAAGAGACTGTAATGGGCAATGTTGTATTAGCCAACATCTAGGTAGTGCTATGCAAAGGAGCTGTTTTAAGCACCTTGGTATATTAATTTACTTAACCTTTGCAAAAATTCTATTAGGTAAATACTATGATGATCTTTTTTTTACAGACAAAGAAACTAAGATAAAGAAAAGTTCCATGACTTCCAAATGTCAGATGGTGGGAGCAGAGCAGATCAGAACTCTCCTGGGTCCAATGTCTCCACCCTAGCCACAGGCTGGCGGCAGCAGGGTGCATAGGACGGTGACAGGTAGTATTAATAGTCTATAGCTTCCTTCATACTGAAGACTAGATCGGTACATGTGGTACTTCTGGCACCAAAATTTCCCCTTTGCAAAACAAATCTCATCAGTTTCTTTTTAAGGGATGAGGTCTCTACCCATTCTTCAGTCATGACTTTGGCCCAGGTAGTGAGGGTGAGTCCTGGCCTGGGACACATCTACAGAGTTAGGACAAAACCTGCAGCTGCTGACAGTTTGTCCCAGACCACAGGGACAGTGTGGTTCATTATTGACATGGTTTCTCTCTCTCTGTGAATTTGATTCAGATGGCAGCAAATGTGTAGCAGGATTGAGCCTGCAACCAAGGTACGTGCCCTTGACTGGAATGGAACCTGCGGCCCTTCAGTCTGGGGGCTGATGCTCCAACCACTAAGCCAAACTGGCTAGGCTGCATTTTAATTCTAACAGGAAATTGCAATATCTTTATTTTCAAAGTCTGACCTCTCCTTTTCTTTGACTTTATTTTCCACAGTATTTTTGTTTTCAGCATCTGTGAAAGATATTAGGGTAAAAATTAATCTGTGACTCAGTATTTGGTCAACTGAGTCACCCTAAGGGATTTATTGCAAGGTCAGGCTGCGGGCCCACCGCAGGCATGGTGCTAGGTCCCCTGTCTAAAGAGCATTTGCTATATACCTATTGTGTTAAGCATTTGAGATACAAGGAAAGAGTAAAATATGCTACCTGTCCTCCACAGCAACAACAATAGGTGGGAAATCAAATTCCAAGGGGGCTGACTTGTGACCTGTCTTCAAGGTTCTCAGGGAAAACTTCCTTGGGATAATGTTGACATTAAACTGTTAATGACACCAAAACTGTATGTGGCTTAAATGCTGAGAGTGAAATATGGCCCCTCCCGCTTTGACGGTGCGAACAGTTTGATTGAAAATGTTTGCCGCACAGAGATCTTCACTCCCTGGATTAGAACCCTTGTCCTGTGTTTGCTCATTACACAAGTCCTCTGGATCTGCTTCTCCCGAGCACTGAAAACATGCCAACCTGGTGTCGCATGAAAAACAAGCTGTGTATTCAGCAGCTACAACCTTGTGAGCAGCGTCACTATCACCCACTCCGCGAGAGGGGAGCCGACGTCCCGCTGCCTGTGGCGATGGACATGGAGCAGGTCAACTCCATGGACTTCGGAGAGTTTGTGGATGTGTTTGGGAATGTCATTGAGAGATGCCCTCTGATTGCAGCTGCTGTTTGGTCTCAGCGCCCATTCTCTGGCTTGGAAGATTTAGAAAAGCACTTTTCTGCCTTCATTGACGCCCTGCCACAGTCAGGTAAGGCTTCACGGACTGGGGGATTCCCACAAGGGATTTCAACTGTTCTTATCAAAACATGGTTGGATCTGTTTAGTTGGTTATAATTGTTATAATTATTTAGCTAGTTTTATTGTAAGGGTCACTAGGTTTCCTTAAAATTAGTAAATGGGAGTCAAACACTTGCAAGGTGTCAGGCCAAAAGTCAGATGAAAGAATGTGTGTTGGCTCAGGTAACGTGGCTGTTAAATATTAAAGCTCTGAGGTCATGAGGAAGAGGACGGGCCTCACAGAGGCTCGGAGGCTGAAGGTCAGGCTGCGGGCCTATCCTCTTTCAGCTGAATCTATTCACTCTGGGAATGTCCTGAATGCAGGAGAGAAGGCAGATCGATATCAGAATATCTCAGGAGCCCAGGGGAAAAAGCGAATGGCTGACATTTTTATCAGAAAGGGCCAGTTTGGACTGGATTGCTGAGGAAAGTAAACTCATTCAGATCTGCTTCTCCCGGAGGGAAGTAAACGAGGAAAGACAAAAATTTGAGTGAATTCCTCTGGAGAAAGGGAAAGAAATTGTTGATTTCCACTGGGTAGGGAGAGAAACGAGGCACTTCAGGGTGTAGGGTTAAATGCTAAGGTTTAGGCAAACCCCAAATGACAGCCTCACAGGGATTTAGAAGCCAAGGGGGGGCTGTCTTGATACTCTTCAGAGAGGCCAACACCTTTTCTGGGGTCTGATGAGCATGAGCATCGGGTGCCTTAACTGGGCATTCAGGTCATTCCCAGTGCAGTTCTGCCTACCAAAAGTGGGCCCCTCGCATTCCACACAGGGCTCCATGCCAGCAAGCCTCTTTCCCAGTTAACGTTTGAGAATAGGTGGACATAGTTTTGGCCCCAAGGCCTCTAATCATTCGCTTTACCAGATAAAACCGCCTGCCCAGGAGCTGAAGGGAGGGGAGCGGGCAAGGTTCCTTCCGCAGAGATTTGGGCCGGGAGGCAGAACTCATGCTCTCCTCTCTTCCATGGTGAGGCCAACACACAGAGTAGTCAGGGTGAGTCCCTGGGCTTTAACATCTGGGGAGTAATTTCCCATTGTCAGACGAACAGCTCCCAAGTAAGAAACTCATTTTAATTCAGTTTAAGCACATCCAGGAAGAGTGGAGGACAGTGTTACAAAATCAAACTGACAGAAATGTTGGGGCCATGTTGACACCCATTTTTCAGTGCCTCTCCAAAGCCAAGCTCTCTGTCTTCCACCCCTGGGCTCAGGCCTTAGGGGAGCTGATGGACTCTGGAACCTTCTGACGGGTGGACCCAGGAACAGCCAGCCAAAGCCTGCAGAGCAAGCCGGAAAAAGCAAGGGGCCTTGGGAGCCCATGTTCAAAATATCTGGCAGGAAAACGGATGAGGCCAAATGCAAATCTTCTAAGCCAGAGGGGAATAATTTTTAAAGGGTGTGAATGCCTTAGAAATGACTATATATAGTCATATATAGGAAAAGAAAAAAGAAAAAGAGGGAAGAAAATCCCATCACCTATCTCAATACAGAGGTGATAGGGCTGGGGAATGAATGTATCAAGAGAGAAAGCTATGATAGCATAAATAATTGCAATCTATTATTCACTGGCTTCAACAGTTATTCAACATTTGTTTGGAGTTTGCTCTGTACCAGGAGTTTAGACAATGAAATAAAAGTTCCCTTATTTCTGTCTTCTTTTCCATCAGCAGTCACTCCAACCATCTTGACCAGAAGCTCTAGTTAAGGTTAGTTAGGTCTAATTAAGGTATCTCTCTGCTGGTGGAGCCTGCTTGTCAGCCCTATCCTGGTGTCCATGCTTCTCTTGGCCAGGCAGCTGGGAGCAGAACCTCAATGCAGTCTGCATATCTAATCACCTTAATGATGTCAGAGAGGTGGTATTAGCAAAGGAATAGTAATAACAATAGTTAAAAGGTATTCAACCCTTACTATCAGTGTGTTTCAGGCACTTTTCCAAACACTTATTATACATTTGTTAACTCATTTGAACCTTATACTAATCATATAAAACAAATATTATTGTTATTTTAAAGAGGAGAAGACTAAAATGAGGAGATTAAGTAACTTGATCAAGTATACATAACTATCAATAGAAAGTGGCAGAACTAGAGTCCAAACCCTGATAGTCAACCCAGCAACCTTAGAAGGATTTTCCAGAGAATCAGAAATAAAGTCTAGAAACAGTTTCTAGGAATTTTATTTATTTGTTTACTAACGTGTTCAATTAACATACATTCTTGATCTCACAGATCCCTTTTTAATTGTTTAAATAATCAAATAAAATGGGTTTACCGCATAGTCTAGTTTTATTCTTTGAATAGTAAGGAACAAACTGGGTGTATGTCTTCATGTCCTAAAACTAAAAGAAAGCTTAATGTTTTTTCCTCACCCAAGGATATGCTTTTTATTGATTTTAGAGAGAGGAAGAGGGGAGGGAGAGAAACATTGATCATTTGCCTCCTATAAGCACAGCACCTGAGCATCGAACCTGCAACAGGGTATGTGTGCCCTGACAGTGAATCAAATCCACCACCTTTGGGTGTACAGGACTATGCTCCATCCAACTGAGCCACACTGGCCAGCACTAAAAGGGACTTTAAAGAGATGTGCAGGCTATGGTGATCTTCCTGGTCAATCATTTGTTTTTAATGATCTAAGAAAATTCTACCATTAGCAGGAAACTGAAAACCCTGTTTCTTGAGTAAAGCAAGGTTAACAATCCATAAAGATTATTAGCCAGTAGGTGGCAGTCCAGGATTAATAGTTGGCTCCAGCAATAATAGGCTAAGCATTCTTTTAAGCCAGTCTCTGGATTTCCAGGAGAGGAGAATAGCAATAGTAAGGGGAAGAAAGTTGAAATTCTCCCTCTCTCTCTCTCTCTCTCTCTCTCTCTCTCTCTCTCTCTCTCTCACACACACACACACACACACACACAAACACACATACACACAGCCAATAATAATGAACCAGTTCACTATTGATTTGTGTTAAAAATCAAAAAGCAATAAAAGTTATAATAGAGTTAATTGTGTTAATTATATATATATATATATATATATATATATATATATATATATATATATATATATATAGTTAATCTCTGGAATTTCAGAATAAAAATTTGGCATAATTCATTATTTAATACTCACTTCAAAACATAGTTTTTCAATTAGTAGAACTACATACTAACAAATCCCTTGAATGTAGGCTAGATGGTAGATGAGACTATTAAAGAGATGAGAATGCCAAAGAAAATATTTTAAAAACTCTTTCCCAAGAGTGAAGTATTGGTCAATAAATACTTATAGATTGGCCCTGACTGGTTAGTTCAGTTGGTTAGAGGGTTATCCTGATATGTCAAGGTTGTGGGTTTGATCCCCGGTCAGGGCACATATAAGAATCAACTAATAAGTGCATAAACAAGAGGAATAACAATCAATGTTTCTCTCTCTCACCCTCTCCCTTCCTTCCTCTAGTGCTCTCTAAATTCAGTGAATAAGGCCTAGCCTGTTTGGCTCAGTGGATAGAGTGCTGGCCTGTGGACCAAAGGATCCCAAGTTCTATTCCAGTCAAGGGCACATATCTTGGTTGCAGGATCCTCTCTGGCCCAGCGCCTGGACAGGGCACATGCAGGAGGCAACCAATCAATGTGTTTCTCTCACATCTTTGTTTCTCTCTATCTTTCCCTGTCTCTTCTGCTCTCGCTAAAAATCAATGGAAAATATTCTTGGGTGAGAACACACACACACATACTAAAATCAATGAATAAAAAGTAAAAAAAAAAAAAAAATACTTATTGAGTGCCCATCATGCCTCAGGAATTGTCCCAGGCATTGGAAATATTGAATAGGAACACTGACCAAGACAAGTCCCTGCCTTAATGAGTTTACATTCTAGTGAAGAGAGATAGAATTAACATCCTATATAATAAAAGCCTAATATGTTACCCTGTTTCCCTGAAAATAAGACAGTGTCTTATATTAATTTTTTCTCCCAAAGTTGTGCTAGGTCTTATTTTCGGAGGATGTCTTATTTTCTGGGAAACACCATGAGTGCCCAACTGTTCGACCAGTTGCTGTGATGCGCCTGACCACCAGGGGGCAGATGCCCCTACCATTAGGTTAGCTTGCTGCTGGGGTCCAGCTGATCAGGACTGGGTGAGATGAGCTGGACATACCCTGGAGCCCTCCCACAATCCCTCCCCAGCCTCTAAAACGTTTCTTCTAACTAATTTTCTTTCAGTGTGCCCAAATCCGTGCACAGGCCTTTAGTAAATAAATAAGATCATATCAGATTCTAAAACTTATTAGAAAATATGTACCATTGTAGAAAATATATAATAAAAGAGTTCTTTCTTAAGAAATTATATTTGAGTTTAAAACCAAAAGATGAGAAGGAAAAAGTCAAATATCTAGGAGATCACTCTAAAAAAAGGAACCTGAGAGTTTTGGCACTTGGGGGGCATAGAAAGACCTAGGTGGTTGAAGAGTAGTGAGGAGAGGAGGAATATGAGGAAAGGGAGGTCAGGTGGAGGGACTGCTGTAGTAATAAAAGTGAGAGGTGATAGTTCTTTGGATGAGGACTGAAGGAGGGGAGGTGGAGATATATGGCTGGATTCTCAAAGTAGATTTTAGAATTAGAGCCAACAGGTTTTTTGGATTTCTTGGGGGAAGGCAGGTCAAAACCTGAGAGAAATTAAGGATAATTCCTAAATTTTTAGTATGAGCAACATGGTGGGTGGTGACACTGTTTTCTACAATGAAGAAGACTTAAGACTTGAGAGGACAGGATGGAGAATGGGAGTTTGTTAAGTCTGAGATATCTGATAATCACCTGGATAAAAATTCAGTGTGTTCAAGGTGAACCATAACAAAGGTACTCAGTGGAAAGCTGAGGGCTAGGCTAGTTCTGGGTGTCATCAAAGACTTGATGGCATTTCAAGCCATGGGATTAGGTGAGAACGCTTAGTGAATCACTGTAAATATAGAAGGCAGGAGATGTGAGTTCTGGGTGCTTCAGTGCTAGTAATCTGGCAAAGCAAGAACCACTGGTGAAAGTAGGCTGGTGATGGTAATCTTTCAAGAAGAGAGAGGGACAACCTGGGAAATACTCCCAAAGAGGTTTTGAACAAAGAGGACAGCACTGGTCATGGGCTTGGGCAAGATGTCCATCATCTGTGCCCTTGATGAATGCAGACTGGTTGGTGGGTGGAAAAGTGAACCTGGAATGGGAGGTGAAGAACTGGAGATACTATGTATTCCTAATACATAGAAAGCTTCTTTGAGTTGTTGTAAAAAGGAACAGAGACACAGGGAAAATCTAGAAGACATCAGGGACTCAATAAAGGGATTTAATTTTGTTTATGAGACAAGTGATTCTAAGGCATGTTTGTGTGTTGATGATAAGGCAGCAAGATGAAGAAAGAGAAATTGATGTTTGAAATGGCAGTCTTTGAGATGGAAAGGGGCTGGCTTCAAGAACACCACTGGAGAGGTTGGTCTTCAACAGAAAGAGTAGATGATCCATTGTACCAAGAGGGAGCACGCACTAGCTGACACAGATGTAGGAACACAGGTAGATGGAAAGGGCTTTTAAGCCAATTGCCTGCTCTTCAGTGGCCACTATTGCCTGCCCTGTCTTCTCCTATTGAGACAAAGAGTGCCAACTCTTTGTCCCAATAGGAATTCTTCTAGGTGCAAAGATTTCATTACTTGTGGCACCAGTAACAATACATATCCACACCTACATCTCTACATGTGACATGCCAGTGGCATAGGCAGTAGAAAAACTAAAGAGCAGGCAGCATTGAAATGGCCTTGAGAACCACTTTTGTGTCCCAGGTGGGAGGACCTGCAGGACTGGGACAGAGAGGTGGGAAGCACCAGCCCCTCTGGGGTTTAACACCAGGGCTGGGGGTTTTTACAGGGCCCAGCTTTGGAAAGAGTGCTGAAGATTTGGTACAAGCCCTGGGTCTGGATCAGAGCCATTTTGGATAGCAGTAAAGGGCTCAGTGGGGCAATAAAGACAAGACTGGATATCAGTTTCTATTTCTTGCAGCTAAGGTGTGTGTGTGTGTGTGTGTGTGTGTGTGTGTGTGTGAGAGAGAGAGAGAGAGAGAGAGAGAGAGAGAGAGAGAGAGAGAGAGAGAGAGAGAAAGAATTCCAGTTTATTTTTTAGTCTATTTTCTTCTTCTCTTTGCTCTGCCTCTTTTCTCAGCCTCCTTTCTCTCCCCTTGCAAACAGTGAAAAGAAAACACATGCTTAATCCTAGCCAAACATTAACCCCAGGCACTATTTTTGAGAGAGAAGACAAACCCAGGAGAATGAGAAAAGAGGAGCAAGGGCAGAAAGAAAGAGGCATGTAGGGTGTGTGGGGGACAGTGAGGGGAGTCCCTTGAGGGAGGAGTAAGGGGACAGGCCTTGCCCCCACACCCGGGCCCCCTACTGTCCCCAACCTTGAGCTGGGCTGGGCTTGGGAGAGTAAGAAATAGGGGGAAGGGAAGCAGAGAGACCTGGGGTCCAGTGAGAGGACTAGGGATCAGTCCCCTCTCCTGGAGGCTGCTTTGAAAATCTGAATATGCAAGGAGGGAATATGGGGCTGGGCGGATCCTGCCAGGTGGGAACCTGCGGAGCAGCCCAGGACTCACAGTTCCCCCCACCCCAGCCTGGGTGAATGCACAGCGGATCCAGCAGCTGCGTGGCACAGCCAGCCCTGACAGGGCTAGGAGGTCACCAGGTAGGAAATTTAACCTGTACATTTTCACATCGCCTGGATAGGTGGGATGCAGGAAGCAGGAAAGGACCACTCCTGTTTGCAGGACCTGAGGGATAGAGCCCTTGAGAGTGGTGGCACAAAGGTGGGATTATTGGTGACATGGGTTTCGTTTTGAACTCCCTTTAACCTTGTACAGGCAGCTAGTGCCTCCAAAATGTCCATGATTTGGAATTCAGGTGTGATCAGCTACTGGCTAAGTGACCTTGGGGAGGTCACCTAACCTTTCTGAGCCTCCATTGAATCCTCTCTTAAATGCAGATGTCCCCCCCACAGTTCTCCCTGCCACTCAGGACCGGTGTAATCTAGCATTCGATGGCGTAATCACAATCATACTTTAATTGGGCAGAAATTATAAAGTTTGAGTAAAGAAATGTTTACATCATAATGAAGAAAAGGTTTTTTTAATTTTTATTGATTGATTGATGAGAGAGAGAGAGAGAGAGAGAGAGAGAGAGAGAGAGAGAGAGAGAGAGAGATCTGTTGTTCCAGTTAGTTTTGCATTCATTGGTTGATTCTTGTATGTGCCTTGACTGGGCTTCAGAGTCTGGGGATAATGCTCTCACCAAACTGAGCTACTCAGCCAGGGGTGAAGGAGGGTTTATATGATCCCCCTTTCCAAAGGAACTATTCCTGGCACTAGAGTCAATGCTTCCAGCTGCATCTCAGTCAGTTACACAAAGTTTCCTATGACTGAGAATAGTGGCGGTTGGATGTTTGCTGGCATTAGACACTATTTCAATCGGATGAGTTGTCTCTAATCCTTACAACTACTCGGCAAACTTGATGGCACAGATCACGGCTTCCTCTCACCACGTTGGAAACCGAGCCCTGACTTGAGCATTCCAATTCTCTCTGTAGAGCTAAGAGGAAAGACTTAAACGCCTAGGAATCACACTGGGCAAAGGGAGGGGGGGGGGGCCCGTCCCCATCTGAGGCCTAGGTGATTATGAGAAGCTGTCTCTCAAGAAAACCCTGTATCTGCAGTGTATTTGGGATCTACTGTTGGAAAAGGGGAATGGACCTCAGACAGGGCGGATGGTGAGTGGGTGCTGTTTTTCTAAAAGGAGGAAAGCTGCTTTCACTCGCAGGGCTGTGGAATTCCAGCTAGAAATTTATTTTTCCCAGTTAATCATCTGCAAGGCTCCTTGGATGCCTGATTCCAGCAGGGCCACAAAATCCCGGGCATTTATTTGCCATGCCCCATGGATGTTACCCCTGGCACCCTCACCGTCCCCTTTTGGGAGGGACCGAACCCTACCCCTCAGTCTTTGCAGGAAGTCCTCAGGCTCTTGGCCCCGCCCTCTTCAACATCAAAGCCCCCCTGAGAGCAAAGGACTTTGAAAAGATACGAAATGCTCCGGCTCTTATCGTGTCCCTGCTCCCTCCCAAGCAAGTCATAAATTCCGAGTCTCAGCGGCCTCACCTCCTCCACTCTTCTTGCCCCAAGGTCCCAAAGGACAAATTTGTCACTTCCCGCCCCACTCCTGGATCCTGGACGAGAAGCGGGGAGGGAGGGGCTCAAGATTGGGGACCTGTTTGTGGGGCCAGTGCACCGGACGCCCCTGTTCCTTCAGGACACTCCCTTTTGCCCCCCATCCTCTCCAGGGAACTTAGATTCCCTCCCGAAGCCTCTTCGGGGCGGGGCGGGCGGTGGTCTCCTTCGCCCGTCGGCCCCTCGGTAACGCGCTCCCGCGGGTCTGTGCTTCTCCGCAGGCCAGGAGGGCATCCTGCGCTGCCACCCGGACCTGGCGGGCCGCGAGCTGCAGCGGGGCACGCTGACCGCCGAGTCGCAGCGAGAGCAGAGCAGCGCGGGCCTGACCAGCCTGGGCGCGGAGGAGCGGCTGCAGCTGGCGGAGCTCAACGCCCGGTACCGAGCGCGCTTCGGCTTCCCCTTCGTGCTGGCCGCGCGCCTCCGCGACCGGGACGCCGTGCTCCGCGAGCTGGCGCGCCGGCTGCACCGCCCGCCCGCGCAGGAGCTGCGCACCGCCCTGGGCGAGGTGAAGAAGATCGGCCGCCTGCGGCTCGCAGACCTCCTCGGCGGGGACCCCGCCCGCCTGTAGCGCCCGGCGCGGGGCGCCCCAGGGGCCGCGACCCTGCAGTGTGCGCCCCACGCAGGAGGCTGGCGCGGCCCGGACCCCAGTCTACACGCACGCACAGAGGAGAGGAGAATTGAGGCAATCACACGAATGATAAGCCCCTTTGTTCACCCCACCGCCACACGCGCACGCTTTGCCAAAATATCTATATAGCATCGCGCTGAGTCCCATTCATCTACCTTCGCAGCCCGTTGACACCACCAGCTTTAGTGGTTTCCAAAGCGCTTATCCAGCTCCGGCCACCCACCCGCTCCTGCTAAGCCGAGTTGTCAAGCAAAACTGACGGGAAAGGAATCGTTTATTCCATAGCGGTTTGTCTGTTTGTTTGTTTTTCTCCCCCTTCACTTGCTGCAGAGACATTTACATGTGGGAGGGAGGAAGCGGCATTCTCACTCTAGGGCGTCTACAGGAGCCGCTGCAGGGACAGCGGGCGCTGATCTCCGTCTTGGGCCCCAGGGACGGCTCCGTGGGGGGGGGGGGGGGGGGGAAGCAGGAGAGAGCCCCGCGAGGGGCAGCGCTGAGAAGGCGCCCCGTGGGGCGAGCGGAGCGGCGGCTGAAGTGCCCAGAGGAGAGGGGTGGGAGTGGGGCACCTCCAAGCTGGACAGGCCTGGAGGTCAGGGGTGGGAGGCTTGCCATCTCAAAGGTGGGCTCCTTAGAACTTCAGACTCCGGAGGAGACACGGTCATTTTTTAAAAGTAACAATTAAAAAAATAAATAATGTAGTAACACTCATCGAACAGAGCTGGATATTGTGGCTCCTCGGGGTGAAGATGGGACACCATAGTGCGGATAAAGCGGCAAGGGGAGAACATTGGTGCACACAGACACCTTTTTGGCAGGGCAGGGGAGCAGGTCGGCTTGGCTGAGTGTGTCAACGTGGGGATCCAGAGCCACAGCTGACTGGGCAGCTCCCTGCACTGGCGGCCAGAACGTCCACTCATGCAGGCTCTTTCCCCACTTTCCTCCCTGCCTCCCCCCCCCCCCCCCAAACTGGAAGGGCTAACAGATTCCAACAAACACTATTTAGGTTTCTGCTGGCAGAGGAGAAACTAGCTGTGGTATCCTCTTGGTGAGAGCGAAGTTGGCCCTTTTAAAGCCAAGAGCCCCCATTCCTGACCAGCTGGCCTAGGTTAGCAGCAGCAACAGCAGCAAGAAAACCCATTTCCTTGAAAAGTGGTGTAGTTGGGGCTGAATTCAACAGAAAGAAGCCACTCTGGCAACACAAGGGTTTTAATAAGGAATTAAAATTCCCTGTTCGTGGTGAGGCTGAAGGCGTTTGTGGACTGATCTGTGCCAGGTGCCTTTTTGGGTGCTGGAAGGCCAGGTGCGCACCACAGAGGGGCTCAGTGATTCGTCTCTGTGCTCCAGGGCCCGGGGCAATGGAGGGGCCCTTGGGCTTAGGGTGCTCTCCAGCCAGGGTAACTTGGGGGCTTTCCTGGGACACACAGGAGACCTGCATCTCAGGAAACAAGTGCCACTGGCTGGGCCTGACACTCAGAATGACGCTCTAGATTCAAGGCCCCCTGTCTGAGACTGGGTGAGGCCAGCTTTTAGATAATGGGGCCACAAATGCAGAGTCTGGGCTCCTTCTGCAAATGTGCCCACCCTAAGATAGGGAGACCTCCCCAGAGCTCACTGAGATTGCCAGTGGTGTTTTCAGACGAGTGTAGATATGATCTGGGGCCTCTCAGGCACGACCATGTGTCTCCAATTTCACAGTTACATTTCAAGGGTTCAAAGCTTGTGGGGGGAATTGTTTATTTCTGCAGGAGGGGATACACGTGGGGAAAGCCGCTGGGCCCGCCCCTTCAAAGGAGCTGGTGGGTTAGGGGAGGACGAGCTGGCGGAGTGGTGCCTCTTTCAAAAGATGCCAGAGCCTTTACAGCGGGAGGGAGGGCGCAGGTCTGGGCGCCGGCGGGGAGGGCCCCCGCCACGCCACCGCCACCGGTGGCTCCCGCTTTCTTCTCTGGAAGGAGCAGAGGCAGAGGCCATTCGCCGGTGGCTGCCCAGTCTGGCAGGGGGTTTTCTCCAGCCACGGTTTGGCTCAAACCATGAAGCGCCCTGGGCTTCTGCTGGCCTCAGCCTAGCAGAGACAGTTCCTTGTTTCTGCGCTCTGGTGCGCAGGATGCGGGAAACAGACGGACAGCAAAGCCGGGACTGGGACTGGGATCCCCGCCTGCGCACTAGCCCTGGCGGCGGGGTGGCCAGAGCGCACATAGTTGAGTATTGGGGGCACAGTGGTTGGTAGATGCCAGGGAGAATAAGAATATGCTACTTACCAAATTCGTTACAAAAGCATGAAGGCAACGCAGCGGCCAGGAGCTGTTTTCAGTTTCTGGAACCCTCCAACCCTTCCATGTACACGCCCTTCTGAGAGAGTCCCCTTACTATGTACCAGCCCAGCCGGTGCGTGCTCTGAGTGAGGGGATTCCACAGCCCCAGCTAGGAATTGCCCGGCCCAACCGAGCTCCGCTTCCACGTGAACTGTGTAACCGGGGACCTGAATGGGGCTCCTTTCATTCCCGGAGCAGGAAGGCTTTCTGTGTCCAAAGGCTGTCCACCACACTGGCGTGGGAAGAAGAGGAGGGAACGACACCCCGATTTCTTTTCATAACCATGAACTCGTTTTACATTTGACACATTCTGAGAACAGCCACGGGATATCAGCTTTTATGAAAAAATAAAGAGCTCTTTTCGGAAGTGGGACAAAACAGATGGACATCTTCTTTGGAAATTGGAGAAAAATCTGGGATAGAATTTGTGGGAAATTCACCATCCAATAAACGAATAACCCGCCATCAGCAGGTGCCCGTGAAAGGGAGAGTAAACAGGATGGGAGAGTCTGAAATGTCCCCGAAGCAGAGATGGATGGTCCTGGCACAGGCTGGAGCAGGGCTGGGTGGGGAGTTGGGGTTCCCGGAGTCCTGGGAGGCTCTGTTTCCAGGCTGGCCCCAGCGGCTTTAGGAATGATTACCACATGCACAGGGTTAGAAGTCATAAATTATGAAAATTCTGTGGCACACCAAAAACATGCTATCCTTCTTGCTGATCTGACAAAAATATAAGTATAATTTAGATTCATTCACACCAGGAGACTGTTGTTGTGTTGGCTGTTGTCATTTTTAAATTTGATAATCTAAGGGAAACAAACTTTCAGTCAGGTATTGCACGGCGGCGGCGGGGATAGCAGCTCATCAGTTTCAGCGACTGGAATAGCTAGACTCTTGGTAACATCGCCTAACCGCTCTGGGCCTCCGATTTCTCCGTGTAGAAGTGTAGAATGGGAGGACTGTACGGACATTATGCTGCCAGTTTCCTTTTTAGGGCGAGCAGTTCCCCATGGGCCCAGCGGCTCAGGAGAGCGGGGCCTTTCCTTGCTCCCATAAGGCTGACTGTGTAGGGCTTCCTAGGAACATATTTTCATACGATAAACAAAGGTCGCCTTAAGCACCAGGCACTGGGAGCGAACAAATGGTAACTGAAGGCTCTGTGATCACCTCTGGCTGCCGCTGGCCTGTGAGTCCAGGGCTCCCAGCATCAAGGGTTTTCCTCTGGGGAGAGACCCAAGTCCCCCTCTTGGGGATTTAAATCATTCTCTTGCATGAAGGGGAGAGGGTGGGGAGTAATGGGGGAATAAGGACACATATATAATACCTTAATCAATAAAGAAATTTAAATAAATAAATAAATAAATAAATAAATAAATTGTTCTCTTGTGCCCACCCATCACACAGCATTAGAGTGCATTATACAATGTTCATACCGTGTCCACAGACTGGTTTCAGCAGAAAGGGAGGAAATGGGCCACCCCTCCATTTACTCACATAACTTTCACCCAATGAGCAAAACCAGATTTCTGCCCCCAGATTCCGCCCCCTCTTTGGGGGCTCCTTATTTCCCCAGACCTCCCGGCTTTCGGAATGGAACTTGACTAGAAGAGCAGGGAAAGAGCGCTTGGAGAGGACCAGGCATCTGTTTCCTCCTCTGTCTGGCACTCTGGTCCCTGAGTCCACGCGGCCGCCCGCAAATTCAGGACCTTTTGCTCAGGCAGAGGACCAGACACTCAGTAAAGCCGCTCCTGGGCAGCTTCGGGCAGCTGTGGTCCCTCCCTGCTTTGGGGATGAGCGCATTGGGCTCCATGTGGCCTGATGGAGCCACACAGGCGGTGGATGCTGGGGAGCCCCACAGAGAGGATGCTGTGATCCATTTTTCCCAGTGAGGTTAGCTGAGTGGGCTGTGGCAGGCCAGGGTGGAGATGTTGGTGCCAAACCAACCATTATTGGGCCTTCATTTGTGTGTGTGTGTGTGTGTGTGTGTGTGTGTGAGAGAGAGAGAGAGAGAGAGAGAGAGAGAGAGAGAGAGGTGTGAGTGTGTGTGTGTGTGTGTGTGTGTGAGAGAGAGAGAGAGAGTGTGTGTGTAAGTGGTGTGAGTGTGTATGTGTGTGTGTGAGAGAGAGTGTGTGTGTAAGGGTGTGTAAGAGTGTGTGAGTGTGTGTGTGTGTGAGAGAGAGAGAGTGTGTAAGAGTGTGTAAGAGTGTATGAGTGTGAGAGTGTGTGTGTGTGTGTGTGAGAGAGAGAGAGAGAGTGTGTGTAAGAGTGTGTGAGTGGTGTGAGTGTGTGTGTGTGTGTGTGTGTGTGTGTTGGAGGATGTTGCTGATTGAATGCAATGGCTGAGGAACTCTCTAAACTCCAGTGAAGTAGAGATTGAGTCATTTTCCCAACAGCAATTTAGATTGCCAAACTGAAAACTTTATCTGACATTTTCTTCCTTCTTACTCTTCCTTAATTGTCCTGGGAACGCAGTGCAAGGCAGGGTGAGAGTTTCCTGAGCAGGGGTGGAGAGGGAGTCAGGAAGGTGCATTATTTGGATGATTTTCTTGATCTTAAAAGGGATTTAGAAAGTAGACTTGCATGGAAAGGTGGGTAGAGAGGGCCTGCCCTGTCTGGGTCACAGCCTCCCCAGTTTCCAGGAGCCACAAATATGGGGGAAAGCAGGGTCCCCCAAGGTGGAGCAAACACTGGGGACCTTTGAGCAGGGAGGGAGCCCTGTCAATGATCTGTGGATTCAAGGAGTGTCTCATCTGCTTAGAGAAGCAACCGCCCCTTCCGGCACCTCCGGCTTCCCATCCCCCTCTGCACCCCTGCCCTTGCCACGGGATGGAAGCCTGGAAGCCCCGACTTTCTCTGAGGAATGTGGAGTGGCCTCTACACCGTCAGTAACAAAGAGAAGCCCCTGTGATAACTGAGTTGTGACCGCCTATGTAGTCTTCCTGACACTGTATTTACTTGGGTGCCAACTCTCACCCTCTCTTGAAAAGCCTGATATAGCTCCGGCTCCAAGGGGCCACCACAGCTACAGCCCCAGTCCAAGTCCAGCCCCCAGCTTCCCAAATAAGCTGGCCTCTTCCAGAGTGATGTTCTGAAGGCAGTCGGGGGAGACCAGAGGCACTGGCTGGAAAGGAGTCTTGAGCAGCAAGGATGGGGATGACCTTGCAAAGTGCTTCTCAGCTCAGGCCAAAAGGCTCTGAGAAAACTGTCAAGCACCTTGGGTCTAGAACTACTGAGAAAGCGCTGCGTGGGGCCCTAATGCAGATGGCACCTCCATCCTCCCAGGGCCACACACCTGCACTGAGCGGCTGGGGGAGGGCCACCCCAATCCACAGCAGGTTTCAGAATAGGCACCCACAATGACCTGCTAGAGGCTAAGCCACCAGGATAAAGAGATCCAGGCCCTCTTCCCATCAGCCACCTCCACCCCTCTCTGGTTGCTCCCACCGTCTTGCCGCTGCGGCACCAAAGGGAGGACAGCCTGAACGTGAGGGGCACATCCACTCCGAGGAGCTGGTCTAAGACATCCTTATTGGCTCTCCCCTCACCAACAGCCCAGACCCCAAGCTCATGGGCGTGGTCATGCTGCTACTATTGACCATTTTTCCCCCCCAAGGAAGGAAATTAATTGGTTTTCACAAGCATTTCCTTTCTCCAACCCTCGCACCCCAAATGAGTCTCAGGCTTCCCTCCAGTCCGGCCAGTTCTGTGCCTGGCATGACCCCTGGGGCCAGAGCCACTCAGGCCACCCCCAAAGCATCTGGGTGGGCAGGCCAGAGCCCTTTCTCTGGTGCAGAGCACAGAGACACAGCTGGAAAACCAGGACAATTAGCCGGTGGCTTGCAGCCGGGTCATAAAAATGCAGGAAGTGGCCACCACAGGCGGAGGGGATGGCTGTCCCCAATAAAGTGATTGTTACAAAGAATGCTCACATTCCGAAGACACAGGCTCAAGCCTGGGCCTCCGCTGACTTTCAGAGCTTGAGGCCTGGGAGGGGGTGTGGGGACGGAAGGAGGGACTGTGTCTCCAGGAAGAGGAGGAAGATGTTTACTAGATCAAAAGTCCGCAGTGCCCATCACTTAACCTCTCACATTCCTGCCCTGTCAGGACTGCAGGCCCCTTTCACACGCTCACCCCATTCAATGATTTGAGTTTTGTAATGGGGCTTGCGATGCATTTTCTATTTATTTTCTGGCGAGGTCCGATGACTCTCAGCTGTCTGGGCCAGGCTCAGAGTTTCCAGATAGATGACCTCCTCAGGTCTCCCACCTCTCCAGTGCTCAGCTTGCTGAACCCCCTTCCCTCAATGTTAACCTTCTTCCTTAGGAGACAACAAGGACCTGAGAGACTAGCAAGCAGGAGAGCCCGAGGCCCTGGACCTCTTTGGGCCCGGCACCTCTGCACCATGCAGCTTGGTGGATGTCATCTGTAAAACGAAGAGCATGACAAGACCAGCTTTGTTCCAGATCTAGGGAGAAGTGAGGATCAGGGGAGAGAAAAGATATTAGAGCAAACAACAACAACAACAACAACAAAGACATTGGAAAGGACTCCAGAGATGACTAGAGGAAGTGACAAATACCAGAAAGCACTTGACAAGGAGCATCAAGTGCAGATCTAGAGGAGGGCAGCTGGTACCCTGCTGGTCCCAGAGCCATCCAGTCAGCCTGCCCAGCCCAGCTGGCCCATGAATCCCAGCCTGGCACTGCCATCTGGATTCAGAGAGAAGGCAGACAGCCACCTCAGGCCCATCCCCTATAGTTGCTAAACCGAGAGAAGTGCGTGTGCAATAACCAGATCACCTTGGCCTGCACCCCTCTAGGTGCAGACCCCCAGCCAGGCCTGCAGCAAGGTCCCCACAGCCCACACTTCCAGCCCTGGGTCCTTGGACACCGTGCTTCAAAACCCAAGGAAGGTCCTTTCCCAACTCGTCCCCACCCAGAGCTTTGCAGAGGCAGTCATTAGTAATAGGTCAGGTTCCCTTCTCATCTCCTGGAGATGAAAAACAATTTTCTTTCAAGAATGATTTATCTACCTTGCAAAGTGCTTTTAGGATCTAGGGACACATTAGCAGACATTCTAGGCTCCCCTTTCCTTGATTTTTAACCACGTGTTTAAGTATAATAAACATATAAGTGTAGCTCGTGGAATTTTCACGAACACACGGTGTAACCAGTACCTCACTCTAACAACCCCCGCCTGCTCCATTACTGCCCTACACTAGCTTGATTTCTAACTTGGTTTGTAATTAAGACTTTTAAAAATATATACATTTTATTGATTTTTTTTTAACAGAGAGGAAGAAAAAGGGATAGAGAGTTAGAAACATCGATGAAAGAGAATTACTGATCAGCTACCTTTTGCACACCCCTCTTCTGGGGATGTGCCCACAACCAAGGTACATGCCCAAACCGGAATCGAACCTGGGATCTTTCAGTCCGCAGACCTACGCTCTATCCACTGAGCCAAACCGGTTTCGGCTAGTTAAGACTTTTGAGTCCTAAGTGTAATTTCTTAAAATTAATTGCTTTAAATTAAATCCCAAATGTTAGATGAATGGGAGATGCAGCCTGCAGCCCGAGTCATAATTATCTCATGCGAAGGAGAAGCTGTTTCCTTGGGGGAAATAATGACCAATGGTGACAGTTGTTGGGGGCTTACAGTCGCTCTGAGAGGGAAGGAACCTGCACATCTATACTTTCTCCGCTCTTCACCTCACGGTTAGGTTAGGAACGCTGTCATCACAGCAGTGGCTTCCCTTTTCTCTTAGCACAGAAGGAGCGTCTTGAACTCCCCTTTTCTGCAAATGCATAAACACAGCCCTGTCGCCCCCAAGTTCAGATTCCCACCAAGACCGCTCTCCCCCTTCTCTTTTGCAAGTTTCTTGATTTCATTCTTTGAACCTGTGATTGGAGGTTAAAGTGCACCGGTTGGAAGGAGGAAGCTCTTAACAATAAAGGTTTGAATATTTAGCTGTGATAGAGTCGCCGCCTTCTTGAGAGCTGCCCCCCACCCCTTATCTTTTAAAATGCAAATCATATTTTGGGGGCTGTGCGCGGGGTGCGCGCTGCGCCTCGAAGTCTCCAGCCATTGGTGTCTGTGTCATTACCAATAGGGTCCTGTAAACACTCGTTAATCACGCAAGGCCTTTGGCCCTGGGCTCCGCACGCCAGCCAGTGGCCAGTCTTCCCCGCCTCTGCGGCCCGGTGGGAAGGAGGTGGGAGGAAAGAAGGAAGAAAGGGAGGGAGGGAGGGTGGAGACAGGCCAGTGGGAGGGACCGCCTCAGAGGCAGAAGCGCCGCGCGGAGCCAGCGGAGTACCGCGGGCCGGGGCGCAGCCACCCGCGGCTCCGGCGTCCCCTCGCCTTTCCCTTTCGCTCCGGCGGCGGCCCCCAGAGTCCGCCCCCAGGCAGCATGGTGAGGCTGGCAGTCGGGACTCCGCCACCATGTACGTGAGCTACCTCCTGGACAAGGACGTGAGCATGTACCCCAGCTCCGTGCGCCACTCTGGCGGCCTCAACCTGGCCCCGCAGAACTTCGTCAGCCCCCCGCAGTACCCGGACTACGGCGGCTACCATGTGGCGGCCGCGGCGGCGGCGGCCGCGAACTTGGACACGGCGCAGTCCCCGGCGCCGTCCTGGCCCGCGGCCTACGGCGCCCCGCTCCGCGAGGACTGGAACGGGTACGCGCCGGGGGGCGCCGCGGTGGCGGCCAACGCCGTGGCGCACGGCCTCAACGGGGGCTCGCCGGCCGCCTCCATGGGCTACAGCAGCCCCGCTGACTACCACCCGCACCACCACCCGCACCACCACCCGCACCATCCGCCCGCCGCGCCCTCCTGCGCTTCGGGATTGCTGCAGACTCTGAACGCCGGTCCCCCCGGGCCCGCCGCCCCCGCTGCCACCGAGCAGCTGTCCCCCGGCGGCCAGCGGCGGAGCCTGTGCGAGTGGATGCGGAAGCCGGCGCAGCCGGCCCTCGGGAGCCAAGGTGAGCGCGGCGCGAGGGCGCCCGGGGAGGTGGCCCGGCGCCGGCCCCAGGCACCGGCTGCGGGGCGGGCCGCGTGTCCTGTGCGCACCGAGTGTCGGGGGCTCCGCGCCAGGAAGGAGGGCCTGAGTGACAACACCAGGAAGCCCCGAGGGCCGGGGCTTCCCTAGCTCCAGCGCCCAGGCTGGAGGGGTCGGAGTGGATATGTTGTTTCACACCGGGCGCAGTTAGGGCAGGGGAGAAGCACGGCTGTGCCATAGAGCCGCGTCCTCCCCACTCGCTGCCTCCGCTCGCCCTCGGTGCGCAGCTTCCAGGCACCTGGAAGAGGGAGTCTCCAACTCTGCCGGCAGGACTCTCTCCCATCGCTCCGCACCTCCTTCTGCATCTGACTGTCCAGGAAGAGAGGTGGCCTGGGGGGCCAGGCGGGCGCCCTGGGGGGCCAGGTCTAGCCTTTCGGGGCTAACTCAAGGGGTCGGGGCTGCAGCAAGTCGGGAGAGGTTCTCTGTCTGGAAAGGAAGTGTTGATTCTAGGAACTAAGGTGAAGGGGGCGCGCCCTGGTCTTTGAACTTTTGATCTGCAAAAGGGTTGTTTCAACCTGAAGCAGGAGAGCAAGAAACCACAGGAGGGAGAAGAAGCTGTGGAATGGATTTAGTCTCTGCTCCAGGCAGGAATCGTTTGATCGTTTGTTCCCAATCAAGAGTCCAGGTGTGTGTCTGTGTGTGTGTGTGTGTGTGTGCGTGTGCGCGCGCGCGCGCGTGCGAATGTGTGCGAGTGTGTGCCAGTGTGTGTGTTCCAGGTGCTTGCTCAGGAGCTGTTCCTACAAAGGTCCTAGGTTTGCCGGACTGCTGGGACTCATTGGTTCCAGGTCTGCCACTTACAGTGTCTGGAAGCGTGTGGGGGAGATTCTGTGGGCATCTCTTTTTGTTCCATGAGATCTTCGCAGCCCTCTGCAGTTCCGCCTTTTTCTCTTCCCTCCGTCCTGCCTCAGCCAGGCCGCAGCAGGTTATGGTCACTCCGCAGAAGTTTACAGCCAGTTACAGCCGCGCAGACCAGAGAGCCACTGCGGGCTGTCTCTGGGCACAGGTTTCTGTGTCACTGGGCACATGCCAGGATCGCTGGGGTGGGGGGGGGGGGGGGAGTGTGAGCGCCCAGGGAGAAGGCCACAGGACCAGCCTGGAGGCTTGGTTCCTTCCCCTAGAGGGGGCGCCCTGGTCAGAACAGGGTGTGCACCCTAAGGCTTATTTTACAGACTGCCAGGGGCGCAACAGGCGGGGACCCGACGGGGGGGGGGGGGTGAGGAGGCTTTGGCGGGTCCTGGGAGCGCCCAGAGCAGGGGGAGAGTGAGGGCAGACAAGGAACCCAGGCCGAGGGGTCAGCAGATGAGAGGCTGCTGTGAAGTCCCGCGCCGAGGTGGTGAGGCCTCCGCGGGCGCCGGGCGCCCTTGTGATGTTAATGCGAGGAGGCCGCGGCCCTCGGGCCGGCCCGGCTCCTCTGCGGAGCGTCATCTGTCAGGGGGCGAGGGGGTGGTGCTCAGCCCGGCCGCTTTGATATACACCTTCCCAGCCTTGCCATTGTCTCTTTTAGGGCCCGGAAAAAGGGTGGTGACTTTCGCAGTCAATAATGAATTCTGGCAAGTTCCTCTCATCTCTCCCCTCTCCCAGCGCCCTCCTTCGTTCCCAGGGGGTGCGGGGCGCCTCCAGGCCCTTGGGCGTGGGCCCGCAGAGCGCCACGGGGCCGGGTCACCGCCTTCACCCGTCCCGTCCGGGTATCCAGCACCCGAGCACCTCCAGGCAGGCTGGTGTCTCTGTTGGGCAGTTGGGCTCGGAGAACCCCTTTGCGCCCCGCTCCCTGGCCCCGGAGGTGTGTTTTGTAGCTTCAGCCTGACTTCAGTGTCAGCCGCGCCTCTCCTCTCTGCCTGACCTAGTCTGTTCCTCAGTTTCCTCATCTGTGAAAAGCGGCGACTGACTGCCTGTGAGGCGGGAACGCGTGGGAATGCGTCCACCTCGGGGCGGGCCCCGGGACGTGTCAGTTCTCCCCGCGCTTCCCGGTGGCGCGGGGTCGGGGCCGCTGCTCCCATTCACATGCGCCCGCCGGGCGGTGTTTATGTTAATGCGCCTGGCGGGGAGGGGGATGAAAGCCGGGGCCGCCATTTGCTCAGTAGTGGTAATTCAAACAGAATGCGGTTGTTATTAAGGCATTGAAAGGGCTTTTCTTTGATAAGATCGCCTTGTCCGGCATTGTTTGCGACTGTGTTCCGCTTTCAGCAGCTTAGGGGAGCTCCCTCTGATCCCGCCTGTATCTTCCCAGGGCGCTTTTGTTGTGGTTTGCAAAGGGTTTTACCTGAACAAAGTCGGCCTGCGGGGCATTAAACACCTCGGAGTAGCTCCTAGACCTTTCAGATCTTTCTGTGGGACTGGGCACTGGGCAGCTGAACCAGTTCTGCTTCCAAGACCCGGCCTGGCCATGGCTCTGCCGAGGGTTGACCCAGGACAGGCAGACGCGGTGGAGACACCAGGCTCTGGTCTGCTCCAACTGCGGAGGCACCATTTGTCAGGGCTCTTCCGCAAAACAATCAATCCCAGGCTTAATGTGTTGGCTTACCCAGTGAGTACAGATCCCCGGTCGGGATAACTCTGCAGAGTTTGCGGCAGATATAAATGGGGAATTGAAGAACAGAGTGGAAACGCCAAACCGCGTTTCACCGGGCATATATATTGTCCCCAGTGGGCGGGGCTTTCTGTGTGCTGGACCCCAGCTCAGAATTCCCGCAGAGGGGCCCAGAGTGGGGGTGGTCCTGGTGACTTGAGGAAACCAATGCATACTCACGATCCCAGCTGTTTTAGGTGGGCTTTCATCTCTGGTTGGCCTGGAGGTCTGAATATTCCTGGGACTCTGGGACTCTGTCCTGTTCTCTTTCCCTTTGGGCCTCCGGTACATATTTGGTACACCAAAGTGGTGGCTGGCTTCTGCTTTCTCCTGTGTGTAGAGGTTTTAGGTTTTGTTTTTTAATTTAAACCCACTTAACTCCAAGGTTGGTTTAGTTGCCCTGCAGAGTTCCCCCTCCCCGCCCCCAGGCTCTCTGTTGGGGAGGGTCTTGTCAGACTGGCAGGACAAGCCCTGGCCCCCTGGGTGGTGAGGAAGAGAAATGGCCCTTGGATTAGAGAGGTTTGTCATTACCCATGACTGATGGGCTTTGTAGTTCTCAGCTCTGACTCCTTTTTCCTCCAGTGAAAACCAGGACGAAAGACAAATACCGGGTCGTGTACACGGACCATCAGCGGCTGGAGCTGGAGAAGGAGTTTCACTACAGCCGTTACATCACCATCCGGAGGAAAGCGGAGCTGGCCGCCACCCTGGGGCTGTCCGAGAGGCAGGTGCGAACTGCCCTCCTCTCTCTGACTGGTCACCGCCTGAGGGAAGGGGTTATTCCTGTGGGGGATTTAGAAGCCAGGCTACTGAATCCACCCAGTTTGGGAAGGGTAAAGTAGCAAGATGGGAAGCATTTCCTTCTGAATGATAAAAAAAAAAAAAAAAAGGCTCCTTCTACCTGTGGTGGTCTTTTGGGATGATGTTGAATATTTTTTCCCCTATTTGTTGGGGGGGGGGAATGGTGTCTGGGAGATGTAAGGAAAAAAACCCCCACAGTATTAGTTTAATTCAGAATTCTAGCACCGTGCCTGCCCATAAAAACTAAGGGGTGAGACTTGGCTCACAAACTCGGTTTATAGCCTAGAAAAAACAGGCCACATTCGCAGCCAGGAAGCCCACATTAAATCTCACTCTCCGCCCCAAGGTGAAGACCATTACTTTTAAAAAAATTTTATTGATAGGAAAGGAGAGAGATAGAGAGCTAGAAACATCGATGAGAGAGAGACATCTACCAGCTGCCTCCTGCACATCCCCTACTGGGGATGTGCCCGCAACCAATGTACATGCCCTTGACCGGAATCGAACCTGGGACCCTTCAGTCCCCAGGCCGACGCTCAATCCACTGAGCCAAACCGGTTTCGGTTATTACTTTTTAATTTAGCTTCGAGAGGCTAATGGTTGTCATCTGAAGTCCCTCTAGCCCTGGCTTCCTCTTGCTTGTAATAGCAAGGGTCTGTGGTTTCTGTTTTCCTTGGGTCTGAGGCTCTGAGCTCTCCCAGTAAAACTGAAGATAAAGGTTCCTTTGGAAAGAAACGGGGGGGAGGGGTGTAAGTGTGTGGGGGGGTGATGCTCTTTTCTCAGGTGCTGAGTTGGGCTGAGAGGGGCTCCCGGGCAGTTATGGAGATATCCCAAGAAAGGCGGATAGGGTTTGGGGGTCCTTCCTGAAGAGAGGGCATTTCTTTAGAGAGGGAGATGTTGATGCCAGTTCTCCACCCCTCTCCCCCTCACATTCTCTGCTTTACCATCTTCTGTTTTTCCCACCTGTCCATTTCCAGGTTAAAATTTGGTTTCAGAACCGCAGAGCGAAGGAAAGGAAAATCAACAAGAAGAAGTTGCAGCAGCAGCAGCAGCCTCCACCGCCCACAGCGCAGCCTCCCCAGCCACAGCCAGGCCCTCTGAGAAGTGTCCAGGAGCCCCTGAGTCCTGTGTCTTCCCTGCAAGGCTCTGTGCCAGGCCCTGTCCCTGGAGTTCTGGGGCCGACTGGGGGGGTGTTGAACCCCACTGTCACCCAGTGACCTACAGTGGCCTGCAGCAGCAGAGCAATTCCAGGCTGAGCCATGAGGAGCATGGACTCTGCTCAAATCCTCAGGAGAGACCCCTCCCCTCCCACCCACAAACGCACACCAACTTATCCAGCTCTCTCTCAGAGGAAAAGTGGGGCCAGGAGCAAATACAAGTGGGGTCGAAGGCCTCAAGGAAGACACTGCCCCAGATTTTGACTTTTTTTTTTTTGTCTGACTTTTTCTATCCGCGAGGAGAAGGAAATATGACCACTGGGACTTCACATGGTACTGGCAGGAGCATTGTCTGGACTGGCTAAACGGACAGGCGTTCAGCCCCTCCTCTCCAGTTCTTTACCTCCAAAATCTGCAGGAAGCCTCTCTGGTTGGAGCCAAGGGGAGAAAGGGACTCAGGGGAATGCCAGTGCGTGGAGCCAAGATGGCTACTGCCTACTCACTGTCATCTAAGGACCAGCTGGCCCTTCCAGCCTCAAGGGCAGGCAAGGTTTACACTGCAGAAGTCTGAGGCAGCTAAGATAGAAACCTGAACCGACCACAGACTGCAGAACCCCCAGGCCTTTGTCTTTTTTCTCTTCCCTCTCCAGACCAGGAAAGGCTTGGCTGGTGTCTGTGTGGTGGATGGTGTGAGGGTGGTTTGGGACTCCAGGCCTGATGGGGCCCGGGACTGGGCCTTGTTTAGAAAGCCTGTCACCGGAGCTGCTCCGGCTGAATGGATGTCAGCGCCATAAACGCCAGAGCCGACCTGGACTTCCTGTCATTTTCACAATCTCAGGACTGATGAAGAAAGGGAGTTGTTGTTGCTGCTGTTTGAGTTGTTGGTCTGTGTAACATCCAAGCCAGTCTTTAAAAAGCCCCTGGATCCATGGGGAGAGAAGTGATATGGTGAAGGGAAGTGGGGGTATTTGAACACAGTTGAATTTTTTCTATAAAGAAAAAAAGAGATAAACGAGCTTTTCAGATGTCAGACTGTATTTATTGTCTTCAGATTTTGTCAAGAACCATTATTATTTTTTAAAAGATAGGAACATCTTCTCTACTTGCCAAGGAGAATTAGCACAATCCCGGGGAGGGTGGGGAAGGTCATCGGGACAGCCTCATTTACCCCAGGGGTAGACGCCAGAGGGAGCCTTTCTGAGCCCTTCCCTGCCCCCAAGCTTGAGCCCAGCCTAGATTGTGAAACTCGCGGTTCTCTGGGGGGTGCCTCTGGGCAAAATGCTCACTTGAATGGGCTGCTGCTTCCCAGCTGCGCTGAGTTTTGGGAGCTGGGCCTCAGAGAGCCCCTCATAGCATCTCATCAAATTCACACCAAGGCAACTGCAAACATTCCCCTCACCAGTGGTTCCCTTCTTCTTAGGCATGGCCCCCAATCCAGCCAGTTAAACATGAGCATTAACAAAAAAAGGTTTATTTTCTGTTTTCCCAAGGAATGTTCCCATGAGTACAGCTTATGAGTCGTTGGGCATTGACAGGAGCCCTTTCTGCCACCACCCCTTGCCCTGTCCGGCAGCTTCATCGCTCCCCTTCATTCCCCCCTCCGTACCATCTGCCCCATAAACAAGCACCGAGAACCAGCATAAGAAGATCCTTTTAGTGACCGCTGCTTGGTATCCGGCTAGTTCGCTGGGGACCTGGCTGCTGTTCTTGAGGTTCTTGGTCCTAGAAATCGCCGCGCTGGGCACTCTGCGCTCGGCTTCGCCCTCCGTTTCGGTCTCCTCAGGAGTCCCTCCAGCCCGCTCAGAGCCCCCATGGAAGTAGGAGGTGCCCCGAGGTCTGGGGTGGGGGGAGAGGGAACGAGCGGAGCTGCGAGGCGAGGCGTACGTCCCTCTGCGTCTCCCCGATTCCGCGTTCTTTCCGGATGGCGCATTCGCTCCGGGGCTGGGAAGGGGCTCTGGTGGCTGAGCCTGGCGCTGGGGGCGCAGTGCCTGGCCGCCTCGCCCACGGGAGAAGTCGAGTTGGGGTCCGCTGAGCAGGGGGGTCCCCGGGCCCCAGAGTGTGGAGGCGCCGAGACAGTGCCCCCGCGCGCACTGCGCCCCCCGCCCCTTCCCCTCCCCTCCCCGCCGCGGTTGCTATGCGTTGCTGTGAAACGCCTGTCAATAAACCTGTTTGGAGTGGAGCGAGAGCCCAAGGGTTGTTTGTTCAGTGGTTAGAGGTTCAAAAGTCGGCATTGTCCCGCGGCTGGAGATTACAAGCTCTTCCCCTTCCCGCCGGGTCTGGGGCTCTGACGCCAGCGCTGCGGGGCGAGGAGGGCGCTCAGCTGCCCCAACGCCGGGACCCGCCAGGCCGCCCCCCCCCCCGCCCCCCCAGTCTCCCGGGCCGCGAGTGGGCAGAGCAGCTGGGGCAGCTGAGCAAGGTCGGTGCCGGGACGCCTGGGCTCATATTTGACTGGATGAGTTCCGGGTGCGGGCGCCCCGAGCGTGGCCGGCAGGGGGTCCCCGGAATCCCGCTGCAGTCTGGCACCCTCCGGGATCCGGCCGCCAGGGGGCGCGCGCGCTCCGGGAAGAGCGGGAGCAGCCGCCGCGCTCCTGGGCGCCTCGGATCCGACCCGGGACCCAGCTCTGACCCAGCAGGAAGGCGCCAGCTCCAGCACTCCTCCCACCCCAGCCGCTTCCGAACTGGGGCCACGCGCCTGCTGAAAACGAAGTTCAACTTAGGCTCAGAGGATTCTTGGATCTGTTCCATGTTTAAGAAAAAACAAATTTGGCGGTAGAGAGACACCCACCATTCTTTTTTTTTTAAAATATATTTTATTGATTTTGTACAGAGAGGAAGGGAGAGGGATAGAGAGTTAGAAACATCGATGAGAGATAGACATAGAGAGTTAGAAACATCGATGAGAGATAGACATCGATCAGCTGCCTCTTGCACACCCCCTACTGGGGATATGCCCGCAACCAAGGTACTTGCCCTTGACCGGAATCTAACCCGAGACCTTTCAAAGCCGAGGCTCTATCCATTGAGCCAAACCGGTTTCGGGGAGACACCCATCATTCTTAAAGGGTCTTTTTGCATAGGACGTTTCCTTAAAAAATTACAGTAGCCCTACCCGGTTTGGCACAGTGGATAGAGCGGCGGTCCTCCGTCTGAAGGATCACGGGTTCGATTCTCCATCCCAGGCGTATGGGGGAGGCAACCGATGGATAACCAATGTGTCTCTTTCACTTCGGCGTTTTTCTCTGTCTTTCCCCACTCCCTTCCACTCTCTCTAAAAATCAATAGAGAAAATATCCTCAGGTGAGGAAAACAAAAAAAGAAAAGAGAAAAAAAAATCACAGTACTTTGGGTATGATACTAATATAAGAAAAGACTGAGCTTAGGATAAACAAGGGGAAGAGGAAGTCTCAGCATTATGGGATTTATGTTTTTTTAAAAAGGTATATGTGGAAAGAAGTCAGCCTGAGTCTTTTTTTTTCCTTTTCTTCTGTGAACAATTCATGAGTTTACTATACTCATGCAATAAAGTTAACAAGGTGTACTGATGAAAGCAGAAAATGTTTCAGTGAGTTTCACTTCTTTCTGATAATATCTAGTAAGATGCCTACACTAGTCAAGATACCAGTCTTAAACAGAAATCTGAATATATAAACAACAATATTCTTGCTGTTATTCACAACACTCAGGAAAAAATAAGAGAAGGCTGACATGAAGGAAATCTCAGTTGCAGAATCTTAAGAGATTATGTGGTTTTTCGGGGCCCTATTTTCACCTGGTTTTAGAGATGGGCTGCTGTTTGCCAGCTTAATGACCTCAGGGAGACCACAAGCTCTGAGCCACTACTTCTGCATTTGTAATATGAGATAATGTAATATGAGATAGTGTAAGCATACACTTAGGATTAGATCCCGATAATTACAGGAAGCTTTTTCTTTCCCTTCTTCTCCTTCTTCTCCTTCTCCTCCTCCTCCTCCTCCTCCTCCTCCTCCTCCTCCTCCTCCTCCTCCTTCTTCTTCTTCTTCTTCTTCTTCTTCTTCTTCTTCTTCTTCTTCTTCCTCTTCTTCTTCTTCTTCTTCCTTTTTAATCATAAATAATTTTATCTGTAAAGTGCTCATTTTTTTTTCTCTTACAAAGAAACTGTGAACATAATGTCTCCAATCATGATGGTATAACCCCTTTCCAGAATTGTTTTTAATGCATTTGATCTGCTTACTTCGAAATAGCCTCAAGTCTGTTGCTCTTATCTCCACAGCCCCAGAGTGTGCATAAAAACTCAAGTGGCAAAGCACTAGTATTCCAGATGTGGAGATGACTTACTGATCTGCACAGCTTGCTTGCCCTTTCATCTACCAAGAGATATGTGTGTCCCCCCCCCCCATAGTTGTTCTTAGGAAACAGATTGGTTGAAGATGTAGTGGGAACCTCTTATAGTTTCTTTATTTTGAAACAAGTTCCATCCCAGCATCTCAAAACCAATTCTGTACTCTTTAATTTAGTTTGTTACTTTAAGTATTTAAGTTGAAATGCAATTATTTTCTTTTTAAAAAAATTATTTTTATTGATTGTAGAGAGGAAGGAAGAGGGATAGAGAGATCGAAACATCAATGATGAGATAGAATCATTGATCAGCTGCCTCCTGCACGCCCCCTACGGGGGATTGAGCCCAAAACCCAAGCATGTGCCCTTGGCTGGAATCAAACCTGGGACCCTTCAGTCCACAGGCTGACACTCTATTCACTGAGCCAAACTGGCGAGGGCTGTGAATTGTTTTCTTCAACTACATTTAGACCATACAAACTTCTAACCCCCATTACTCTCACATTTAGCCTGCCATATTTTCCTTCTCTACTCTTGTTCTTCAAGATGATGGTTATAATTTAGGAAAAGGAGCATGTTTTATTGGTAACTGGGATGAGCTAAGAGTGGGCCAAAACAATCACTAAATTTACTTAGCTACAAATCAGAGAGAATATATACTTACATCACGACTTCTTTGAAGGTTATGAAATTAGATCTAAGGAAAAAGCCCCTCAAATTCCAAACAAGGAAAGTAGAATCTGCCAGTCAGAGATTGTACCAACATTTACCTTGAAGAATTAGTTTAGAAAAGGTGGGGGCAATTGCATGAGTGATCTTTGGTTCCACTGTTTCTAGTACCCAAATGTTACATTTGTTATAACAATAGCTTTTTCAAATTGGAATTATCATTAATCTCAATGAATGTAGATAATATCAACTAACTTGCCAGAGCCCCAAAGTGAAAATTGCTCTACTTTCTGCAGGATCCTGGTGATTCTGTGCTAGAGAATACAACCAGTTTTAGTCCATGAAAAAGAGTTCCCTTAGATCAAATGATAAGCAAACTGCCCCTTCACACACTCACATATACTTAATAGTATTCAAGTCATGTATTGGGTTAATGTGTACAATACTTTAAGGCCCCAGGTATTCATGCAATTTAATACTTGTGCCTTAATTTTTAGGAAAGGAATTATTTTCTAATTGTTCATGTGTTATTTTAGGACTTCCAGGATTGACAATCTGCTATCATAATACTTGGTATCTACAGTATGACAATAATAGGTTTTATATAAGAGGTGGTTGATAAATTCCTCTCTAATCTCAGCAAACAATGAAAAACAATGTAAGAGCTAAAGTGCAGATGTATAATGGGTTGTTGTGGGGTACTTAAAAAGCTGTTGTTGATTAGTAGAATCAGCAGCAGAGATTAAGTGCCTAAACCACAGATTAGAAGTTGTTAAAAATGACCTGGGCAGGCTCTGTCTTTTATTCATGAAAGACACAGTATATTGTTCTTTACCTCTAATGTATTAAAAACAACCCCAGCCAAAACCAAACAGAAAAACTCCTCAACATAACTAGATTCTATTTGCAGAATCTCCTAGCAGAATTATGGTAATGTGTATGTGCATTGCTAAAAACAAACAGAAGCTATAAGTAAGCAAGAACCAGAGACCATTGTCCAATAAACAGTGATATACAAGAGTGCAGGCAGAACAAAAAGAAAGACTGCTTATCTGGAATCCACACACATATAAAATAAAAATATAAGTTTTCCTCTCAAA